TATTCGGTGGTCAAAATTGAATGGCGTCACTGAACAACTGGTGTTTGTCTGTTCCGAGGAATTTATGGAGTTTGCTTTGTTTTTTGTGTTTTTGAAAGCTCTCTCTGTGTGCTTTGTTTTTTTGCTCTTTATTTGAATCCTCTCTGCATTTTTTTTTCTCTACTGTTAATTTACCATTTTTTTGAACTCTCTGTGTGTGTGTTTTGGTTGATTTGCTTCTGGGTTTTGTGTGTTTTGAGAGGATCTTTTCCTGCTCAATTTCCTCCTTCTTTGCTCAAATCTCGTGAAGGAGATTGTTTCGGCTGTTCCAGAAATCCTTTGAACTATCATTGTGAATTTGCCATTGAATGCTGTTGGTGTTTTTGAGTTCTGTTGCTAGTTAAATTGGTAAAGTGACTCCTCGTGGGGTTCATCAATAATTTGTTTCAGTTCTAATCTCGGAATAAATCTGACTGTGTTTTTTTCCTAGTTTTTTTAATTGGTATTGTTCTCAGTGTTGTGATAAAAAAACACTACCATTATTGTGGATCATCAAAGGAATTAATTAAATCCACTAAATCAAAAAATGTTGGCTTTTCTTGTTTTGTATTTTTGCTGATATATCAGCTCAGACCGATTTCTTGCAATGTTAGGCCAAGGTTTTCTCTTTATTTTCTTACTCTCATTATGGAAGTTTATGAAATTGTCATACTCATGCTATATTTTGATGGTGTCTGGTGGCACATACTTTCCTTATCCTGATTATAACTTCATTTATCTTGCATAGTTGCACACCTTAAATTCTTTTTCCCTTCCATAATAAGAAAATAAATTTCTATAGTTTACATAAAGATTGATTTCTTCTCATTACCTGGGATATAGATTGTTGAAAGGATGCAGAATTTGGTTACCATTTTTGCAGTTACAAAATGACATGAAGATTAGTCATAATATCCATTTACCATCTTCAAACTTCATACAAAAAATCTATTGATATGATTCTATAAATTGGTCTGCCTGAGCCGTCTTATGTGTCCCCTGTTTATCAAAATACCAGTCACCTAGTTTTCTGCAGGTATAGGTTAATAGTACTGTATATTTTAAGTTAGACTGTTGGTAATGTTGATTCCAATTGATTTGCAGATGCCATTTGTTGCCCAAGTGCTATTATTTCTGCTTTTGGTCTCACTTTCTCATAATTTGCGTACATCAACAGGGTAAGATGGATAAAAGGAGTTGGCCTTGGAAGAAAAAATCGTCTGATAAGCATGCGGTTGAGAAAGCAGTTGCCACTGCATCAGACTCATTGGCAGCTGCCTCAGAGTTGGACACAGCTCTAGCCGAAAAGGTCTGCCTATATTATCGTGATTAACTATTTGTATTCATAATTTTTAACCATTTACCTTTTCTTTTTTGGGCTCAGTCTTACTTCAACATTGTTTATCTGGTGATGTTTCTTACACACCAAGGTTAAGATAAAAGGCACACCAAGGTTAAGATAAAAGGCAGAAGTTTCAGTTTAGATTTTCGGACATGTTAAAACCTATTTGTAGTTATTTCAGTGTTTTTTTTTCCCTGCATTTTATCCGGTCATTCTGTAGTTCTTGTGCGATATTCTCAAGTTTCTATAATAAATCAAAAAGGTTCGTCCCAAGTTTACTTATTTTATGAACATGATTTCCTACTCTCTCAAACAGGCGAAACAAGAAGCCACTAAAAAGCCAAAGTATGTCCAAATTTCCATGGAATCATATGCACATCTTACCGGACTAGAGGATCAACTCAAGTCGTACGAAGAACAAGTCCAGAGCTTAGAAGACGAAGTGAAAGAACTGAACGAAAAGCTTTCTGAAGCCAACACCGAAATGACTAATAAAGAAATCCTTGTCAAACAACACGCCAAGGTCGCTGAGGAAGCTGTCTCTGGTACTATTACATTTTCACTTTCTCCTCATTAAAATCCATTAAATGACAAAT